CTCAAAGATGACCCATAGCAGAAGCAGAAGCATTGAAGAGTCTCATTGCCAATACCCAAAGTAGTATCCCTGTGCAGAGGTATTTTGGAGAACATGACCAGTACCTCTAATCTTGATTAAAAAAAATAGATGCAGCAGTAAAAAAGAGGGCAGTAAAATGGAAGTAAAGTGGGAGCCAACAAGAGAAACGGGTGCAGTCAATGGGGCTTCGGATATCTGAAGCTACCCTACTGTTCTCATATTTTTAAACAAACATGACTACTATGAGCCTTTTAGTAAATCATCCTTTAATTCAGTCATGCTCACTCACTACTTCCTGTGTACCAGTTAACATGAAAAAGACAATTGCAAATTGATATAGTAACCCATGCCCTGTCTGCAGTTTCAACATTCGGATATTTCAGATTCGTTTTGGATATTATTTCAGTTTTGGATATTAATCTCAGTGATTTAATTGTTAGCTGTATTATGTCTAGTAAACAAAAATCCGCCTGACAAGCCGTGACTCTGCCAAATGCTCAGGGGTCTATTCACAAAGCTGCCGAAGGATCCAGCCGTAGCTTCGGCTGATCCTTTGGCTAGCTTTGGTTACAGGAGGCCTTCGGTTCAGCAGAACCAAAGGGCTGCTGTACGGGCTATTCACTATAGCCCGTGCAGGTCCCGCAGTTGGCCGAGCGGCTCAGCCGAGCCGAAGGCATTTGCTTCGGCTCGACTGAGCTGAGGTGAAATCCGACGGCTGGCTCTGGGCAGAGCCAGACGTCATCTAACGGCTGGCTCCAGCCACTTGCAATGGCAGATCAGCGTCCCCTCCGCCGAGTTCTCAGTGTGAAATTACAGTTCAGCGTCCCCTGGTTACCTAGTAACCAGGGGATACCGAACTGTCATGAGAGCTCAGTGGGGCCAGCCTTGATATCACTGTCGGCTGCGCTATCACTCAGCGGGCCGGCCTTGATATCACTGCCGGCTTAATAGGTAACCAGGGATGCTGAAATATGCACGGCTGAAATCAGCTATACAAGCCTGAAGTGAATAGCCGAACAGTGTTCGGCTCACTTCACTTCGGGTCGGTTATTCACACGGCTGCCTTCAACAGCTTTGTGAATAACCCTCTCAGTGTTGCTGAGTGTTATTTAATCAAAATGTACCATAATTCATAGCTCTTTGCTTTCTATTACTGCATTTTTATATAATTTGTTTCCCTTGACAATGCATACGGAAATAGTATTAATTGTGTTCATGATCTCACAATTGGTAAAAGATGCGCCTTTTGAAAGAAGAAATGTACGTGCATATTGCAAAAAGCTTATAGCTAGAGGCAAGTAATATTTTAACCTACATAGCTGGCATGTTTTATTGTATTACTAAATGGTAAACATATTCTAGCAAGGAGCTATTGTATTAAGAACGCATACTGTGATGTCTGTTTTTGACACATAAGTTCACACAAGAAGCAATATCTGTAAGCAATTAAAACATGCAAGTATCTGTAAGCAATGCAACAATTGTCCAAGCAGTGTCATACGGACAACGAAACTGCGCAATGAACAGTTTCTAGGATAATGCAAAAACTCAAGTTGCCAGTGATTTTCTTTTTAAGTTGTGATGGATTCTGCTGTCTCCCTGAGGATGATGTGTTGTGAGACATCTGTCCATTATTTCTAATTCTGGGACCTGTCAGGGTTATTTATGTGACCTGACAGATGAACTGAAGTGGCACACAGTAGCTAAAGTGTATTTCAACCCAAGCACAAAAAATGTAATATATTGTAGCTTACCACTTCTTACATGTGGTGGTTGCATTAATTGATTTTTCTTTAATTTCAGCTGGTGATTCTACCAGTAACATATTTCATGTCCCAAGTTGACAACACTCACTCACTGTACTGCATCTATGGAGGAACAGCTTTGTCGCCCTAGGCTACTTGTGTCTAATGTGGACTACAGAACATCACCCCATTTACTGGTTCCCATATCATAGGAGGGAAGTATTCTGCAGTTAACAGATGTGTACTGGACAGGGCTGATAACAGGGCATTTGATTTAATTACAGCACAGGCAGAGAGCACAGAAAGTGAGGAGCACACCAGGTATTTTCCTGTACTTGAAGCATTTTTAAAGTGACAACACAAAAGAATACAGTGAATGTATTGGAGAGGTATATATTTTTCCCCATACATGCACTATAATTCTGTCTTTTAATTGAGAATTCAAAATTAGCCACATTACATGGAAATTCCCAGTTGCAAAATCTCATGGGGTGATAATAAGCATTTATGACTAAAGAAGCACATTAATGCTTTCACAGAGCACAACTAGGTTGCAATTAAATTGCCCCCTTATGGTGATGAATATGACTTCTCTGTCATTTTATTTCTATCTGAATATCTATATTTAACAGATATGAATGTTTAGCCACATTTTTCAGGTTGCCTACTGCCATAATGGAAAGGTCAGAGACAATTCATTTTTTACTATTGTGAACCAGGCATGCTAATGCAATTATTCCAAATTACGTTATTATAGGTTTTTCATTTAGATTGATTGTGTATCAGACAGTGTTTATTCTAGAACTTAGTAATTAGTGCAAATAATTAAACATTTAATTTTTTTGAAAAACCTGAAAATAAGGTAATCTAAATATATAAAGATTTTCTGTCCTATTATGCAGTAATAATCAGCTGTGTGGGACATTTATCAAGATTGCTACACATTTTGCTGTTGTTATTTTGCAGCATTGCTGTAAATCATTGCACTCGTGCGTCTAATTTAGCCTGTTGCTCAAGCATGCAGGCAAAGATGTGTCAGGCAGAGCTTTGATCTGCTAGTTGAATGGTGCAGGACATTAGCTGTTATATCTGTCTGTGTGCAGCTACAGATCAAAGCCAGGGCTGCCACTTCAGTGGAACTTTGAGATGCAGGAGAGAAGGCATGGAAATGAGCTGGGGGAGCTTGGGATGCAAGGGGAGGGGCCCAGGTTGCAGGGAGCACCTCTCTCCACACTATTTACATTAAGGTGTGCTATCTAAAAACTGCTCCGCACAACTTCTTGCTTTAGTGGCAGATCTGACACCATCTTCTGCTGCAATCTAGATCACGGCTCATGCAAATAAAGTTGTTTACTTCTTCACTTATTGTTTGGACAGGGGTGCGAATCATGAATTGGTACAGCAAAGGCAAATGATCTGTCGCAGAGGCACAATAACACTTGCAGTTAAAGAGTACACATTCCTATGCTGCGATAATTTAAAAAGCAACACAACTGCATTAAATGTATCCCTGTGTATTTTGGCAAATAGTTTTAATGATACTGAATATGTTACATATGTTTGCATAATATAAATGTGGTTGTGCACTTTTTACACACTATCTTTTATAAGAAAATGTTACATTAGGTTTAGTGGTCTAGCTCACTCCCAAATGCTTCTTTATAAATAATGTATTCTACCTTTATGGGTGAATGCTATTTAATGAAGTGCATCTAAACACATATAACAATAACTAAAAAAAAAAAATTGTGTCCTTGCACTATTGTATACCAGAAAAAATAGGGGGCAAAATGAAAACAAGGAAACAGATTTATAGAAGCAATTGAAAAGCAACTAAGAAACTCTGACAAGCATAAAACGTCTTTAAAATGAAGTCATTTCTGAATGTGTTTACAATGAACATTTTCTGCATAAATGGAAACCTAACTTTTGCCACTTTAGTATATATATAAACAGCTCATTTGTAAGCCCAGGTTTCTTTACAGTATTGGTCTAGCACAGCCTTTCTCAACCATTTTACCACAGAGCAACCCTTAAAATTGTTTTCCAAGCCTCAGGGAACCCCGACTTAAAATAATTATACCTACAGCTCATTGTATACTAGCATGCTCAGTATATTGTAGAGAGTTTTGCATACAAGAATACAGAATGGGGTGTACCTAACCCTCCCACATTCTATATTACAAAAATATCCAATTTATTAAATATAATAATATTGGCCTGAAAAGAAACAGTACAATTGTAGTAATCCTTTAAATTGGTGGTCTGTTTAGGTAGAAGACCAGTCTGCCACTGCTTTCCACTCAAGGAGCCCCTAGCAACCTCTGGAGGAACCCCAGGGTTCAACTGAACCCTGGTTGCGAAAAGCTGGTCTTGTAGATTGCATATCTGCTTGATTCATCAAGATAATTAAACAAAAAAACATTGTGCATACTGCTTTGCATTGTCTGGCCTTTTCTCTGCTATAGTAGTTTTAAGCGCATATATATGTCCCCCTTAAAGAAAATGAGTAGGCATATCAAATAAGAAGGGGTTGTTTGTTACATATTGGGATCCCCCAATGTTATCTGGTATACACAGGTATAGGGAGATCTCCCTCAACTGTGTATTTTGTCAACTGGTAATTGATGTCTATGGGGAAAATAAGCCTCAAAAGGATACAGCAACTATACACCCCCCTGTGCGCAGTTATGTCTATTTCTAACAAACAATGTGTATGTTTTATTTTACTTACAGTATTAGGTCCTTAGAGGGAAACAGCAGCTAAAGGGTGAAAAATACAGCTCTAGTATGCTATTTCACACCGGTTGCATACTTTCTTAACACAGATAGTAACCATTCACAGACTAACCCCATATTACTGCATGCCTTGAAGCACTGGCTTGTTGCCAAACTGCATCTGAGGTTCTTTAACTGGGCAGGAATATTTGAACATTAAATATTTATTTAACATGAAGATCTTTTGTTCATGTAATTGAAGTGTATGGAAAATGTCTACACACATTATCAGAATAAGTGGTACCTCCTAATGATAGTTTGACTTAATACTGAGTACATTACACAGTGTGCAACCAAGCCTTTCTTACTACTCCATGTACCACAAATTGACTGACATTTATTGTATGTGTTATACACAGACAAATTGCATAGAACTATAGTTTTTTTATATAAAAGCTGATCCTGCTTTATAAAATTAGGAAAACAAATAGGTATACAAAGTTTGTATATTTTCAATGAATAATGTTAACATGTAAGTTATTGGAAATTTGCCTTCATAGAAATGCAGAATTCGCACTAGAGGCAAGCCTGTGGCCTGTGTGACGAGTACCCAACCACACCACTTGCCTAGCGAAAAAAAATATCTGTTTTATGTGGTTAAATGTTGTGTTCTAGAGATAAGAAACATGATAATATACATGGCAACTGCAAAAAAAAACATATCAAGCCCACGCATACAACGCACATATCCTAAACACTATTCATGAATGCAGTAATCTCTAACTAAATATATAACCGTTGTTGCTAAAAAGAAAATGAACATAGATTGGAGTATTAAAGATTACCATGATTTCATGCCAGTGTTAACAGATACTGGGAGAAAATGTGTTAACAGATTCCAACAAAGCACTGGTCACAAATGTTACTACTGGCATATGCTGTAAGATTAATTATTTATGTTATGACATCAGCTTTGTAATAAAGTATTTAAGAACATAATTTCTACTATAGTAAATGGTTGCAATAAATAATTTAAATTTGGATATAAATACAGACCACTTGATTATGCCATTCCAGGCATAACTGAAAGTATATTTTTCTTACATTCTTCTTGTCACCCTGCCCCACCATTCATTTTCCACTACGTTTCTCCTGAAGAACCATTATTGGTGGATCATTCTTTGCGTGGTTGACTTCAAGACTCTGCCACCATAACTCAATAATGGAGTTAAACAGATTATGGCATTCATACTCTAGTCATAGTATTTAAAATTATTTTATTAATTTACTCCTATCAAGCTCTTTAGCTATCATAATTACCAATTGAATGTAAGCGGTATGTACTATAATACTCTATGTACAGAAATGTGCATCCAATATAAAAAAATATATTTATTATGTGAACTTAAAAAAAAATTATATACGTATATCCTGACTCTTGCGCTGGTAGGAGAAGCATTGTTCTTATCTGCTAAAGAAATGATCCTCTAAAATCTATAGATGACTTGCTATGACGAGTCTTCACACTACAGTCATTGGGTGCTGTTGTTCCATCATGGATGATGCAAAGAAACAGTTTCCCAGGTGAAGAAGGATTAGTGGGAGTGTTTGATTCCAACAATTTTCACTGAATTACAGTATATTTGGTGTCTAAAAATGAGGAACCACTGGACTGATCCAACATTTTTTTTTCTTGATAGCACAAAATTTTTTTTTTTTTATTTTCATCCTGGCAGGATAGCTTCTTGATCTCAGAGTTCTCCTTGAGCCTTCACTACTTTTTCCATAGTTATACTTCTGTAACCTATGATTGCAGATGTCTGACAAGTCGGAGCTCCTAGTTTTAGGAAACAGAACCACCTTGCCCCATGAAGTACATACTCTAGCAGGTTGTGTTAAATTGGGGCAAAAACTGAATTCATGTGTATGGTATCACAAAGCAGTCCACATAACAGTTTGTTGCAGCACAAGAGTAAAAGAGTCTTTTCAACTGCTCCAGATAAAATGCGAACATAGTACTGTCACCTGTAAAGGTAAATCAAACACAGATTAAATATTCAGGAGAAGAAGAATGCTCATGAATGTAATCAGTAAATATGAAATACTATATTAAGAAATTAGATTTAGGTTACTGCAAGATCATGTGAAATGTTGTTAATTAGTAAGGACTATAAACTCTGAATATCTTTGTTTGATCAACATGCACATTTGATGTAATGAGCCCTAAAAATTGTAAACGTATTGGCATACTAGCTGTACAATGCAATTATCTTCAGCATGGTGGGGTCTCCCAGGAAGGTTGGATACATGCATTCTGCTTATGGTATAGTCTTCTGTATTAGCTTTTGTTTCTGGAATAGGATTTTCAGGTTCACTTTCAATGCGCTACATCACAGTCGGTGGCAGTCCACAAATTCTTAGATATATTAGCTGAATAACTGTTGATTGTATTATGTACTGATTACTCTATATCCTTGAGAGCAATAGTTTGTGTTCCTATGCTTACTGATAAAAGCAGCTGTACAGCTTTCATGACTGTAAACATTTCAGTCATCTCCACATGGCACTGGGTTCAAGAAAGCTTCGTAGATTAAAATGGAAATACCATTTGATTTTGTATGAATAATAACATATACTTTAATTGGAAAAAGAAAATTTAACAAACTTTGTAGCATTGATTTGAATGTCCTATTTAATCATACTGTGGAACGGACATCAGATTTTATTACACCAGATTATGCCACAGTGTGCTTATTAAGTTGGGTTTGTGAATTAAATTAACTAATTATACACAATCAAGAACAAAACACAAAACATATTAAATGCTGGCGGACCAGCAAGAATGGATTCCCTTATGGTCCTCATCACACATAAAAAGAAGTGGGCTGTCTGTAAGAGACAGCATGAGATGTGATACAGCTTTAACTAATATCACATCAAAAGTAACTTATAATACATTCGCCTCATGCATGAAAGCTATGTGACTTTGGGGAGAGCAATATGAACTCTTATACAACAGTATAACGGAAATTTAGTGGTCACTGCTTAAAATTAATAACAGAAAGCAGTACTGTCATGTAGCAAATTGTATCTCACTCCTACTGCAGTATGTAGTGCATTAGATTGGTTTACACTTTTCTTAAAGAGAACATGTGAAGATAGAAATATGAGGGCTGCTATTACACTGAGATTGACATACAGGCTACACTACCTAGGGAGTCACTGACCTGGACCAAGCATGCAGGCAGTGAAATCTCAACAGCTGGAATGTCTTTTCTGAGTCTTCTAGCAGGTCCCGACCAATGAATAACAACTTGGCGGAGCCGGCTGTGATCTCACGGCTGCCTCCACACCAGTTGCAATAACAGGTCTGTCATTTGCAACTGGCCAGAGCCAGCCGTGAGATCACAGCCGGCTCCGCCAAGTTGTCATTGTGTGATGACAGTTCAGCGTCCGCCCAGCTGTCAGTTGCAAGGCTTTTGGTTGGCCAGTGGCCGGCCGTTCGTCCCTTTTCGGGTTTCACGTCGGCTTGACTGAGCCACTCGGCCAATAGTGAATAGCCCATACAGCAGCCCTTCGGTTCGACTGAACCGAAGAGTTCAGGCAGCCGAAGCTAGCTGAAGGATCAGCCGGAGCTATTTCTTTAGGAAGAGTTTCTAAAGAAATACATGTATTTTATTTGGATGACTCTGGAATAAAATAAGTCAACCTGGGTAGGCAATTTTTGATCTGATCTAAATCACTTATGCTTCATAGCCATAAGAATCAAGGACTGAAGGATTTTATTGTCTACATCCATACTTTGTAATAGGAAATGACCAGCAAACTGACTGGGTAGATCTAGATTTAACTCAGGTGTCACAAAACTTAGTTTCATCACATTATGCAAAAAGCAAGCTGAAACACTGCTTCACTGTTTAATTACTAAACTTCTAACTAAAATAAATTCTGATATCAGATTAGTGTGCAAAAATCAAATAGCCTACGATAATCCTAAAAAGAATTGACTTACCAGGAATTGCTGAAAAATGTCTATATTACAGAGACTTCTTTCTCTGTCTGATGTAGCATGCTAGAAAAAAAAAGAAACCTCTCTTAACATACTAATTTAACCTAAAATATACATAGTTATAACAGGGTTCGGAAACCTAATTTTACTAAATAATTACTGGATAATTAAAGCATTGTTCAATGGAAATAAGGGTATGAGTAATGGAATGAGTCAGCATCTGAAAGCTAATATTACCCTTTATGAAGAAGACATTCTAAAATATTACACCTCAATGACAGCCTTCTGTGATAAGATTAGCCCATATAGTATGAATTGGGTTTGTAGTGTAAAATGTCAATTTGCAGATGGGAATGTGTTCATGCTGTATGATTAATCAGACCCTCTGAATATCTAATTTTACCTGACTTTGCACATTTGCTATTCTGTGCATAATTTGAAGGACCTCTTATCTGTAAGATGCTTCAGAGGTGTTAATCACTCCATACACGATAAAGCTGTCACGTGATTAATCAAGCATAATTCATATCATGCAACAGCAGGGCTCATGTGGGAGCTCCTACCTAGTTTTGATTAAAAGAAAAAGCTGTGAATTTCTTTGTCGCACATGTATGCCATGATGTGGCTTCTTTTTAAATCTTTTGTGACATTACAAGAACAATTAGTGGACAGTCAGCCATGGGGCTTTTTGGGTTACCAGGTGTGTGAAAAATTGCCTAAAGCAGGTATATATATTTCATATATGCAAAAGGTATGCAGCTTCATTAGGGCAGCCTTGGGTCAGCCATAGAAGAACACAGTCATGAAAAAGTGCTGTGTTTTCTGTCACTGCATTCATGTTACAATGTATTGAATCTGGCCTGAATGTCTAGGTCTCAATATGCAGCACTTTTACACAAGCACCAACCTAACTTCATGTACAGATATCTTTAGTCAACTGTCAAATCTTGGCATACACTAATTCTGATGCTTGGTCATTGCCTACCCATCAAGGAATACTTTACACTTAGAAGGTGACAGAATTTAGGCAATTAAAGAAGAAAACATACTTGTTTAATTCATTTGTGTCTTTTTGATCAGCGTGGATCTCAGATACTTCATTATTTGCCCTTCTTTGGTGTTTTAACTGGAAAACAAAGATAACATTTCCTGAAAATACTGAAAGAAAAAAATACGCATATGTCTTTTTTTGTCATATTGATTGACACCACAGACAATAACTTACAATGGTCATTTCAATAACGGTATTGAAAATTGTACTGGAGGGAGGCGGTCCCTCCAGTACAATTTTCAATACCATTATTTAACAGGATTGCAGCTACATAAATACATTTGGACTTGTTCTTCAGGATATAAAAGTACAATTCTGACTAAAACTGAAAATACAAATGGGTTATGGCATACAATATCATTAATCTTTGTTTTATTTCCACCTTAACCATACATGAAATGATAAACAAATGATCAATCATGGTAGTAATTGAAATGATCCTTTGCTTGGAAATCAATGTTCAGCAAAATAAATAAAACACCATTTGGTCAAACTCAACTACATTTTGCACCAGGATCAATTGTTATAGTTTGATGGCAATCATCCTTTGCATATTGAAACAACTGATTTCTGAAAGATACAGTCTTTTCATCAAATGACTGTAATATGTAATGATCATTTAGACACATGTATAACCAGAAACTAGATACAAGTGCCCAGACTGCCAATATCTTCAGCTAATATGGGCCATTCTTTCTTCCATTGTTATTTTTGTGCTCCAATGGAAAGAGGCAGTCAGTGACAGGACCACCAAGGTAAGTAAAAATGTGGTGCATAAGTTTACACGACCAATTCCATTCCACAGTACTTTATTTTATTTTAGCAATTTATAGGATCAATTTACACAGCTAAAACACCAGAATAAGATCCGTATTTTTAAATCAAGACAGATATATCTTAAACAGATTTACAGGGGTTTGAAAATTAAAGTAATATAGTAAAAATAAAGATTCTTATCCTTGTGGAAAGGTTCATGAACTGAGACCATTGTGTTATCAGTTTTTATGAAAAGAAATGCTAAATTATATGTCATAGTCTATGCTACCACACTACTCCTGTTTTAAAAGAGACTACTATTACTACTAGAACTTATTCAATTCTATTTGTAGTCAGATCAGCTTACCTTCCAGCACATTATGCCAAGTAAAAATCCAGCGACCATACAGGCCATTGCTATAGATGCTATGCTAGTCCATGGTAAGGAAGAACTGCTGATAAATTCACTATTGTCTGTGTATCCTGTATAAAAAA